TGAGTGTTGATAACAAAGGATGGATTCAGATCTGAACATTCAAAGGACATTCAAATGATCCAACATAGCATTTAGATACAGCAGCTCAACACCCACCCCCCCCTCTCTCTCTCTCTCTGTCTCTCTCTCTCTGTCTCTCTCTCTCTCTCTCTCTCTCTCAGGCATTCAGCTAAGGGAGCTGATATTGCTGCCAAGTGCTATTTTGTGCTATTTTTGAGCAACGCTATGAACATAACAGACGAGGGCCTGTTCTCATGAAGCTATTCTACAAAATATAAAGTGAAGAATTATTCCATATTCATGTTATTTCTTGTAGGACATTATCTGATTATGACTGTTGATTGATTTCTCTGCATCTCTGCCAAAAATCTCTGCCAGAAAAGCAACGAGAGAGAGAGCGAGAGATATCAGTGCAACTGAAGCAAGGCCAAATAAATGCTACTGCGAGCGACTTATCAATCAACGTTATAGGAGTTCATTAGTCTTTAGAGCAGCAAATGATTTAGAGTTTATTATGAACCCATCAATAATCACTGACTCACTGGTTTATGAGTTTGAGACGGCATTGTGTGTGTTGTGAAGCATCATGACGTATTGATCTGAATGTGTTGATCCAACTGCATCAATATTGGAATGTTAGATTATAATCAATAGCAGTTTGGATTGGATGTGGAACGTAAAGCTTGGTGTAATTCTCCAGGCTATGATTTTTTTAAAATCGAATTGATTTTCTGTGGTTCTTTATGGATGTGAAAGCTGGTCAATAAATAAGCAGGACAGGAAAAATAGAGATGCCTTTGAACTTCGGTCCTGGTGAAGACTTTTCAGAGTACCTTGAACGGCAAAGACGTTAAGTGAATGGATCCTCGACCAATTCAAGCCTCACCCCTCACAGGAAGCCCAGATACCCAAACTGAAGCTCTTACTTTGGACATATTCTGAGAAGAACCGGTTCACTGGAAAAGACCATTATGCTTGGAAGAGAAAATGAAGAGCAGGAACTACAAGAGGGATCATGAACCAGCCATTCAGAAGCCTGAAGGCCCAAACACAAGACAGGATAGTCTGGAGATGCACTGTCCATATGGTCACCAGGAGCCAGAAACAACTTCACAGCACTTAATATTTATAATAATAGTATTGTTTTTATATTTCACTACTGTGTATCTATTTTTCATGATTTCATGATGCATTTAACGGTTTCCAAAAGAATTGTAATCAAATGGAATCACTGACAGATCCAATGTTTACAATGGTCAGTGAGATTTACAGTAGTGAATGTTGACATGAAGATATTTTTAGTGGTTTAATGAAAAAGAGATTTACAATAATCAAAAGAAAAATGATTAGGAGATTTATAGGGGTCAACAGAGAAATGTACAAGTAATGAATGTGGTCAATGGTGAAATTAAGAAGAGATTTACAGTGGTCCAGAGTAAAATGAACAACAACGGTCAGTGGTGAAATTAATGAGATGTACAGTGATTGATGGAAATTGAATAAGAGATTTATAATGGTCAACAGTGAGATGAATAGGAAATTTACAGTGGTCAGTAATGAAATAAACAAGAGATTTACAGTGACCAATGGTAAAAAGAATAAGAGATTTGCAGTGGTCAGTGGTCAAATGAACAAGAGACTTACAGTGGTCGTTGGTGAAATATATAAGAGGTTTACAATGGTCAGTGGTAAAACAAAAGATATTTACAGTGGCTAACAGAACAAAAATAAGAAATTTAAAGTTGTCAACAGGCCAAAAATTAGAGATTTATAGTGGTCAGTGATGAAATGAACAAGATATTTACAGTGATCAATGGTAAAAAGAATAAGATACTTGCAGTGATCAGTACTGAAATGAACAAGAGACTTATAGTGGTCATTTGTGAAATAAGAGGTTTACAGTGGTCAGTGGTTAAATGAATAAGAGATTTACAGCGGTTGATAGTGAAATAAACAAGAGATTTACAGTGATCAATGGTAAAAAGAATAAGAGATTTGCAGTGGTCAGTGGCCAATTGAACAAAAGACTTATAGTGGTCATTGGTGAAATAAATAAGAGGTTTAAAATGGTCAGTGGTTGAACAAAAGATATTTACAGTGGCCAACAGAACAAAAATAATAGATTTACAGTGCTCCAGGGCGACATTAATAAGACATTTACAGTGGTCAGCGCTGAAATAATTTAGAACTTTACAGTGGTCAGCAGAACAAAGAATTAGATATTTACAGCCATCAATGATGAAATGAACAAGAAGGTAACAGTGGTCAACAGACCAAAAATAAGAGATTTGTAGTGGTCAGTGGTGAAATAAAGAAGAGATTTACAGCGGTCAGTGGGGAAATGAATAAGAGATTTACAGTGGTCAACAAAAGATGAGATATTTACACCAGTAAACAGAGTAATAAAAAAGAGACATACAATGACTTACAGTGAAGTGAACAAGACATGCATAATGGTCAGTGGAAAAATACATAATTTACAGTGGTCAAAATGAAAACGACAGTTATCATTGGTGAAATGAAACAATGAACATTATTAAAAATTTTGAGTTAATTGAATTTCTAATAGAACAAGAACAACAATCTGTATCTCACACTCTGTCAGTGTATTATTTGAAGTTCACTTAACATAAAAGTAACTTTTTACATTAAAACAGCAACTTTTTTCGAATGTACGAAGGTAAACAGTGAAATGAAAAGAGATTTAGAATGGTCAGTAGTAAAATGATCAGACTTTGTGCTCAGACTCACCCAGACCTTCTTTTAGTGGCACAAGGGGCACAAGCTGCCCACCATCGCTGCCCTGTTTGACCCTCTTCTTTCTGAGCTTCCTCAGCATGTCTTTCCCCTCGAGCTGGACTAATCTCACTATACACACTCCAAACCAGCTAAACTTCAGTACTGGACCTTCAAGTTGTCAAGTATTAGGGCTAAAACTAAGCTACCGCCGACTGTCCATCTAAAGCTCCAGCTGCTAGCATTAACATTGCTGAAGAACTGCTGTGGAAAAGCCTCTGCCTTGCTAACGTTCTTTTGGCTATCTGGTTTTGTACTCAGCTGTGAGTCCTGCCAAACACATACACACACATCTTCGAGGTACCTCCAGCAGGGGTCCCACAGGAAGCTACAGGGCTAAAATAACGCATGTGGCTCCCCTCTTCTTCAAACATTTTCCAAACCCAAAACATGCGATTTTGACTTATAAAGAGGTGAATGGAAGACAAAAAGTCATGGACAAGGGTTGAAAAGTGGACATGTATGGATGGATGAAAATGAATGGATAATCAATAATGAAGGATGGATAATTATTCAACATTCTATTGAGAATTTAAGAGTTTAACACAAAGTTTTAGTGGAACTTCTCAGATGCTCTGGTCTCCATTGGCCTTTTAAGGTACACAGTGGCTTCACCAGATAATGCACCTATTACTTCAATGCTGATTGGCCAGTTACTGTAAACAGGGCTTGACAATCCATATTTTATACTACAGATTGAAACACAATTTGAAACTTGGTACGACAATGCACAATGATTGCACCAGACCAGTGGTCGGCAACATGCAGCTGCTCTTTTACTGTCCGGTTGTGGCCCCACAGCAGAATTAGATTTTTAAGTAAAAATAAAATAATCCTCCTTTGCGGTAATATAAAGCTCTGCTGATCATTCTAACACAGTTTTAACAATAAATGGTCAATAAAATTAATGTGTATCTGCTAATTTCCTCTCACAAAACTCACAAAATAAGATGTGGGAAATCCGAAAGAAATCAGAGTAAGAGTTTACGTGCACTGAGGAATCTGATTACTGTGCTAAAATCCAGCTCTCTTTATCAGATTTCTTAATCCGATTTCTAGACCTCACTCCAGTCTAAGAAACTGGAGTATGCTGTTCACATGACCATTTGAATAATCAAATAAATCTGATGATGATCGGATGATTGTATGGAAGAAACACCTGTGGATGTTTTCAGATCTGAAGCAGCTTGATTTTCTCCTCTCTCTCAAAGATGAAAGCTTTAAGTGCTGATTATCTGATGGGGACAGTTTTGGTGTCTACCAGGTCTTCCAGGTGGTTGTTAGGAGTCCCGTTTTCTCTGTAGCTGTTAATTATTTTTTTTGAACTCCAGTTTTGGAAACTCCAAAATTCTCCTTTCACTTTCTTTATGCAAGTGGATCTCTGAAAATGAATATCTTAAACCTTATAGTCTTTTAAATAAATGCAGGGTGGTCTCTTGCTTTTGCACAGCACTCCCTCTATTTATGATATTTTTATTAGAATTTCTGCTCACAGCTGCGCCAGGAGAAACTCCCTGTGCATCTTGTACTTGGCGAATAAAAAAAGACTCTGATTCTAAAAATGGAAAATGGGAAGCGCGTCCCCAATGACCTCGTCTTTCATAAGAGGCGCTGTTGATGAAGGAAAGCGCAGTGGGTACCAACGATTAACCTCACTGCTGTGATTCCCTCAAGATGCTTCAGAATATTTATGTGCTGGTTACATCATACTGGAACTCAGGCTTTATTAATAGCCCAGTATAATAGCTATGTAATAACATCAAGTTCCCTTAATTGTCCTACACTGTCTTTCTCTTTTGCCTCTTTAAGGACAAAATAATATATAAGATATATGATATGACAGGCAGTATATAAGTAAAAAACATGCTGTAATCACACAACAGAGGGAAAATTTTCCTGAATTTAAGATTGTATGTCCATGTTTTATGTGTTATGTCAGTCATGTCTAGCAAATATACCCACAACTGTCTTACATGAACATCAATCATTTGACCTGAAGAAATATTACAGCTGATAGAATGTATATAAATACATACAAGACGTAAATATGAATGCATTGCCTTTTTAAGCTCATTCCTCATCCTGCTTTCCGTTCACAGATGGAGCTGTGGACGATGACCTGACAGCAACAGACCAACTGAGACAGAAAGACAGACACACAAATGTGATGTTTTGTCCCACATACATGGACACAGACTCCTTACCAACATTCTGACCGACACTGCTCAGCCTGCGCAGCAGCTCTTGCACAACGTCCTTCTCCATCTTCACCCACACCATCGCCATCCTCCAGATAGAGAGAGAGAGAGGAAGGGATGGAGAGAGTGGTAAAGGAGAAGAAGATGCGGTCAGACGTGTCCTAGTTTTACCGGCAATTCTGCATCACATAGCTATCCACAGGAGAGAGAGAGAGAGAGAGAAGGGGGAGGGGTGTGTGAGAGAGAGAGAGAAAGAGAGAGAGAGAGAGAGAGAGAGAGAGAGAGAGAGAGAGACCCAATCTACGCATGTATGCAGACTACATGGGAACACATACAGGCAAACACACGCATGAGCGCATGAGTTCAAGCACCTGAGTTGTGCTTTGGCGACACCTACAGCAGAGTTGGTGCTACTGCACCAAGACAAACCCAAGATAGGACGAAAATGAAGGTAATTCCAGGGGGTTTCCTTCCTCTAACCAGTAGTGGACAGCAACAAAGTACAGAAGAAGCTTCCTAAAGTTCTCAGGGACAATTTTCTTAAGAAACACTCGAATGGGAAAAGCTACAGAGCCACAGCAAAGGCCTTAAACATCCTTGTCAGTACAGCAAAAGAAACTGGGGTGTCACTAGATTTTTATGGATGGGGGTCTAAGCCTTTACTAAGGTGGTCTGGGAGCATGCTTCCCCAGAAGACCCCAAAATGTCTGTTCATCATAAACTTCTAGAGTAGCAATAGGCTGAAAATGCATCAAAATGGCTATGTGGTCAAGTTAGCAAACAGAAGGGCCCAATCCCATTTCTTATTTTTACCCCTCCCTTGGTGTTACAAGGGGTAGTGGTTGAAATCTTCCTCTGTAAAATGGGACCCTCAAATAAAAAGAACTTTACTTCATTAACAGCTACTAGCTCTGCTCTGTAGGCGACCCTGCCAGTCTGCAGTGACAGCAGAGGAGGGTAAATTTCAGCTCCTCACTGCTGGGCTTTAGTTAATTTAGGGCATCATATGCCTTCGAAGAGGGGGGTTCGGCAAGTATTCATTATCGCCCACCCCTAATTATTTGGTGATATGAAGCTGAAGCTAGCTGCACTAGCTACACTAGCTACCGAGATTTCCGCATAATACTAGCAAGTTTTTATGCTTGTTATGAAGAAAAGGACCATAATACATTGAAATGACATTAAACTAAGATAATACAGTGGTTATTGTAATTTTTTTAACGGAGAAAATTCTCACATTTGTGGGTTTCTTTGGTCACTTGATATTGTATGTAGGTAGACATCTTCACTCTTAACTACTTACTGATTCAAGTGACAGCCAAACAAAACAGAGCACGTTTGCATATATCTGTTTTAAAGGTGCACTAAGAACAACAGCCTGTCGAATTCTAAGGGATGAAGTCGTCATGTAGAAGTGAATTAACACTGTTTTTGGTATTTAGAACATGAAAGTGGACCAAAGAGGATCAAGGAGAAACAAAAACATAGGATACAAAGATGAAGGATATGGGCCCAACAGGCCAAAAGAATGGTCAAAAGGATGGAATCAAGCAGTGTTTTTATTTCTTCATATTTAATTTAACCAAATCATTTTTCATTGCCGTTTTTTCACTGTGATCGTCCTTTATCCACTGTTGTTGTCCTTTTTTCACTGCCATTGTCCTTTATTCACTGTTGTTGTCCTTTTTTCATTGCTGTTGTCCTTTTTTCACTGTCGTTGTCCTTTATCAAGTCAAGTCAAGTCAAGTCAAAGTTTATTTATATAACGCTTTTTACAACAGCTGTTCTCACAAAGCAGCTTTACAGAAAAATCCGGGTCCAAGCCCCCATGAGCAGGCCGATGGCGACAGTGGCAAGGAAAAACTCCCTAAGAACAAGAGGAAGAAACCCTGAGAGGAACCAAGACTCAAAAGGGGAACCCATCCTCCTCTGGTCGACACCGGATAGCAAACAGCATTAGTATAAAATATTAAAATACAGAAACGGGGAAAAACAGGCGGTGCAATGGTTAATTAGATAGTTTGAGTTTATGCAGCAGCATTTATACACTGTCGCTGTCCTTTATCCTCTGTTGCTGTCCTTTATCCATGGTTATTGTCCTTTTTTTCACTGTGATCGTCCTTTATCCACTGTCGTTGTCCTTTTTTCACTGTCTTCGTCCTTTTTTCAGTCATTGTCTTTTATCCACTCGTTTATGGCAGCTCATCAATGCTAAAACTAGAGAGCGCAAAAACACAGGATGAAAAATATAAACCTGCAACTTTTAACAATCCGCAGGTGTAAATATTCCTCTCGTGAGTGCAAATTTGAAACTTGTGAGCACAGAAAGAAGTATTTGGGGGAGGGCTCATGGCCCGATTCTGTCTGTGAATGCTGTTGGCTGATGGCTCCAGGTTTTGTGACTGACTGCAAAGCACGAAAAGCCTTTCTCCAGAACACAAAGATGGAGGACGAAGACGAACGGTGACAGGTAAGGTAGAAAAAGGGCACTTCGGTTTATTTAATTTACAATAATATTTTAATAGTCCAGCTTAACATCTTTAACTGTTTTAGTGCTAACATTATCCATTTAGTTCAAACTTAATCTGTACGAAGTGTAACGTTAGTTTAGCTAATAGTTAACGTTAAGTGGAATTAACAACAAGTTATTGGCAACTTAGATTGTGTAAAAGGGTATTTTTTTTTCTTTCTATATCTGTAATACATGGCGCTACATTGGCTTCAGTGTATAGTTGATTTGCTTGATATGCAGTTTGACTTGAGTCAGCTAGACCAGGGCAGGTCAGAGATAAAACAGTATCTTTTTTACAAGATGATATGCGTCTGATTGTCTGTTGACACCATACCTACAAGTTATTCTGCCATAAAGGGCAGCTCCACAAATTCTACATGAATAAATGTTTGAGATGTAAATAAAGTCATTCATACTGGATTGATGTGAAATGCACTGATCGAGAGAAACTTACCAACTCATATTTCTGTACTGTGGCGGTGATAGGAACCAGGGGTCAGGATGACTACAATCCAAACACAGCCTTTTTATTTACTCATTTACTCTCCAAAACCACCAGTGAACCTACACGTATTCTGAGTTTTATATGCAGTGTTGATGATGGTAGTCATAAATCTGAAATAATATGTTTTCTTTGGGGACTGTTTTGCCCCATAACGCCCTGCTTATGTCCCTCTATTATGAATGGATTCAAACAAATGTATCAAAATAAGTTTTAGGCCAAAACTTTATCTCACAACTGTCGGAAAACAATGTCTCAGGCATCAGGCAGTGCATTCATAACCATGTCATGTAATAACTTTCAGTGAGGGAGCTTTAAGAGCCATTAAGATCTTCAGATGTCTGGTTCCTATCACCACCACTGTGAACATTTTTTTCTTTGCTTTTAATATTTTAACCATTTGACTTCGTCGTCCATCTTTGTGTTCTGGAGAAAGGCTTTTAATACTTTAGAGTCAGCCACAAAACCATGAGCCATCAGCCAATAGCATTCGAGGACAGAAGTGGGCAATGAGCCCTCCCCCAAACTGTCAAAACCACCCCCAAGCCGGTTTGAGCGCTAAAGACGTTTTGAGCGCAATGTAATGATATATGCACACACAATACTTCTTTCTGTGCTCATGAGTTTCACATTTGCGCTTGCGAGAGGGATATTTACACCCGCAAATTGCTGAAATTTGTGCAGGTTTAAATTTTTCACCTTGTGTTTTTGCGCCCTCTAGTTTTGACATTGATGTGGCGCCATAGTTGTTATCTTTTATCTCCTGTTGTCCATGTCATTGTCCTTTTTTCAGTGTCATTGTCCTTTTTTCACCACTGTTGTACTTTTTCACTGTCACTGTTCTATTTGCATTGTCACTGTCCCTCTTTTTCCTTGGTTGTTGTCCTTCTTCCACCGCCGTTGTTCTTTTTACATTACTTTTATACTTCTTAACAGCCCTTCATAACCTGAAACATACACCAAAAGACCATGCATTAGACTCCCAAGCTTAGAAATCTTGAGACCTTTAATCTTAATCGTCATTTCCAGTTTACTTATGGAATGTATGTACACCACAGGATCTCCTCAACTGTCACTAGATATTTTAGGCTTACTGCTTCTTCTACTAGCCTCCCTGGCTAACCTAATCCTAGTCCTGGATGGTGCGCTGGAACCACTTATGCTGCATGATCTGCTGCAAACTAGGCCTCCAGGATGGGATCCGCTCCAAGCACCAACGAATCAGATTACAGCATTCTGTGCACAGTGATGGGATTGGATGGGAGAGAGACGCTTAATCACTAAATTTATACATTTAGGTATACATTTAGGGGCATCTGGCCTCTACTGCAAAATCGTCTTCTAACTATTGATTATGTGATCGGTTTTCCTTTCTCTCTACTTATTTGCCAGGTCAAAGGGATGCCTTGTTTACCCAGACGTTCCCATTTAACTTACCTGTAGACAGGCCGTCCTTCACCTTGCAAATCCCTAACACGGTATCTACTTTGTTAGCGAAGGGACGGTATCGGTATCCACCAACCATCCTGAACAGCAGGACACCTAGTGACCACACTGTTGCAGGATCAGCGCGATACTTCCCCGTCGCAAAAAACTCAGGAGGGCAGTAATGAGCCGTGCCTGAGAGCATAACAAAGAGAAAGAGCACAGCTGAGCACAGTAATTCATTTACCGACTAAGTGGCTGTAGTACAAGGTTTTCCTCTCAAGATCACGTGTTAAGATGTGAAGCTCAACTCCTTCAGCTTTAAATGAAGACTCTCCACAAGGGCGAGTGTTGAAATCATACCTGTATATTTGTCATACTCCGTGATCTTGATCAGGTCACCACAGCCGAAGTCAATAAGCTTGACCTCTGAGGTGTCCGTGTTGATCAGCAAGTTTGTCTCTTTGATGTCACGATGCAGGACACCTCGCATGCGGCACTGGCTCGCTGCCTCCACTACTTGGATCATTATGGCTCGGACCGTCTCTTCATCCACACAGTTTCCATGATTATTCAGGAAACTTCTTAAGTCCACGGAAGGGTCAGGGCGCTCCAAGATCAGGATGTATCTCTTAGGCTCGTCAAACCACTCGATCAGCTGTATTATGTTCTTGCAGACCGGCGGCTGGCTCATTATCTGCATCAGAGCCACTTCCACTGGCACGGCCTTGGACTCAACAGGCTGCAAGACAGTGGACAGTTAGATGGTGAGGAGTGAAGAACATGGGAAGAAACTCACTGGGTTGGTTTGGGACCATTATGTGTTCCGTGTTAAGTAGGTGAACTTACGCTTTGCAGATACAGGTCTCTTTCCCGTTTTGAGACAAATTTGATGGCCACCTACACAAAGACAAAAGATATTAAGATTATTAGCGGTGAAAAGAGAGAAAGGGAAATGATGACCATTAGAATGAAATCTGAGGTGTGAGCAGAACCTGTAGGCCATCGGAAACGCGTCTTCCTTCGAAGACCGAACCAAAGCTTCCTTCGCCCAGTTTGTCTCCAACCACATAGCGGGATTCAAAGGTGTCTATGGAAAGCAAAATTACAAATGAGCATCAGCCCCCTTTAGATCACTGATCAGGGGTTTACCAATCAAACCTACTGATTATGAAGGATGCAGTGGAATCTACTTTGTGTGTACTCAGTTCTCTTACACAGTTGTCTGGCAATTGGACTGACCTGGCTCGGTGGCGTTGCTCTGGCTCTTAGTTGACGTCTCGGGCTGGTTCACTGCTTCTTTTCTCTTCTTCACTGCCGGAGCTTCAGTGATGGGAACCTTGCTTGGTCCCTCACCCTGGCTGCATTCCTCTTCAGACCTCTTCCTCTTTCCATGAGGAGCTTCTAAAGTACAAGATAAGTACTGAATATTTAGTGTTCTGGACCTGTCACATTACACACATCTTGACCCACAACTGGACCTGTCAACAGACCCACCAGAGTGACCAGATCAGAACTGTTCAGTTGTAGGAAAACAAAGCATCTACGATAAAACTTACTGTAGAATACTTTGTTCTGAATGTAGACTATTTTTTTTAAAAAGTGATCCTCTAAATTTCTTATGAGTTTCTTCCGTTTTCTCGGTTTAGCAGTTTTCTTTCATCTTTTTCTTTGTTTTTTAGAGCCAGTGTCTAAAAAACACTTTGCTCCTCTTCTCAACCACCAATACTTTAGGCTGTGCATTACCTCTCAAATATTATTAAAATATGATATAAAATAGTTATATCTAAAATGATCAAATCATATTTCCTCAGTGATAGCGTATCATTTTACAGTATGGGGTTGAGTGGACCAACCTGACTCGGAGGCCTTCTTCTGTCCCTGAGTCGATGTTTCGGGCCAGCTCACTGCCCCCTTCCTTTTCTTCCCTGCCGGGGCTTCAGTGTTGGGAACATTGCTTGTTCCCTCTTCGGCACTCTGGCTGTATCCCTCCTCTGCTCTCTTCCTCTTTCCTCGTGGAGTGTCTGAGTACAGGATGATAATTTGAATATTTAATATTATTTCATGGAAAATGAGCTGAATATATCTGTAGTAATGACAGTTCTGCGCTGTTACATTGCATTATATTCTATATTGTTATTAAGGAATGCAGTCATATCTAAATGTGCTCGATTTAAAAAAACACTAAAAAATAAAAATAAATAAACTCAAACAGGAATGTGTGGAACCTGTCGCTGCAGAGTTCTGCTCCATCATCTTCTGCTGTATTGAATTCCTTCCACTAAACTAGATTACAGTTTACAACAAACGTGAGCTGCTGCTTCGCTGTTTCTCATCAGAAATAAGAACACTGAGTACAGAAGGTTGTGACATCACTTATTCTTTATGACATCATAACTAAAGTGTTCTGCTTGAATGCACCTCTTCAGTGTGTGAATATACATATACAAATATATGCTTATATGCAGAATATATATATACATATATATATATATACACATATATACATACATATATATATATATATATATATATATATATATATATATATATATATATATATAATTTATGTATTTATATATATATTTTATTATTTATTTATTTATTTATTTTTTCTTTTTAATTAGGAAAGAAGTTAAAAAGTTAAGGCTATTTTTTCTTGCAATGCACTGCATGTATTCTTCCACCACGAATGGATTAAATACACACACACACACACACATACACATACATACACACACACACACACACATCATCTAAACCGCTTATCCTTCTGGGTCACGGTGGGGTGCTGGAGCCTATCCCAGCTGTCATTGGGCGGAAAGCAGGACACTCCTTGGACAGGTCGCCAGTCCATCGCAGGGCAATGGATTAAATAAATGGATTAAAATACATTTTAAACCAAAACTTTACCACAAAACTGTCACAAAACCAGGGGTGGAAAGAGTATTGAAAATCCCTGCTCAAGTACAAGTACTGTTACTGTAGTGATAATTTAGAAGTACAAGTAAAAGTATTAATAAATAGAATTACTCAAGTAAGAGTAAATAAGTAGTTCGTTGAAAAACTACTTAAGTACCGAGTGACTTAGTTGTCACAACCTGAACATATGTCTGAGCTGACTTGGCTACATCACTGGAAATAATCTGTACAGAAAAACACTAAAGCTAAAGTTCTGAGAGCTGAGACTGATCACAGTTTGCTCTGCTAGAGCACATCTACACACCTTTCTGTGCGCTGTGTAAAGAACAAGGTTTACATTATATCGCATGCGTTTCATGGTTGGATGATTATATAAGACGTCCTAGTTTATCTGTTTCCAATGCAGTATTTTAGAATCTCTGAAAGACTGAGCGGAGCTGCTTACTGTTTAATTAGGTAAACACATTCACAGCCTTCACACTGTGTATTTTCACTGATATCAGTTCAGAACATTCACAACATTAAAATCAGCAGCAACATCAGCAAATTACCCAGCTTTGATCTTACTGAAATATGTTTCACTAATCATGCTGATCACTTCATACAGAACCAGACATTATTACTGCATTAGACAGTTAAACAGCTACACAGCCTCTCACAGTTAAAGACAAACACCAATACAGAGAGAGAGAGAGGAGGAGGGAGGGAGAGAGAGAGAGAGAGAGAGAGAGAGAGAGAGAAGAGAGACAGAGGAATAGAGAAATGAAGAGAGAGACAAAGAGAGAGGGGGGAGACAGAGAGAGGAAGAGAGAGAGACGGAGATAAAGAGAGGGGAAGAGAGAGAAGGAGAGGGAGGGAGAGAGAGAGAGAGAGAGAAATGAAGAGAGAGACAAAGAGATAAAGAGAGGGGAAGAGAGAGAAGGAGAGAGAGAGAGAAAGAGAGAGAGAGAGAGAGAGAGAGGGAGAGAGGGAAAGAGGGAGGGAGGGAAAGAGAGAGGGAGGGAGGGAAAGAGGGAGGGATGGGAGGGATCAGATCAGGCCAGTCAGCTTAAAGAGCGACAGCGCGACAGTCACTGTCCAGAGTTTATGAAGATCCTGTATTTGACTGGATTTCTGGTCTCACAGCCGTAAACGACCGTTTATCTCCGAAACAGCAGCTAAACTAGGCTGTATAAACGGTAAACTGTCGGCTGTGGGCGACACCTGTTAACTAAAGCGTTTGACAAGCACTGTAATAAAACATACGCAACAGATTTCCAGTGTAATAACCAGAAACATTAGCTATAAAAGAAAGAAGAAAACCGTAAACACGGTACCTGTTTAGCTCGGATCAGCTAGCACGGCTAACGCTGCCTCAGGCTGGAGTCGAGCTGTGAGAGCGGATCTCGGCCGGTTTCGTGTTCGGCCGCTGATAATATCGCCGTTTTCTTTAGTTCATGTTAAATGAACACAGATGACCGTTTGGTCGCGGTCCGTTCCTCGTGTGTGCTGGTTCAGTTCTCATCTGTTCTTCTCCAGTAAACAGGACATCTCTGTGGTGTTTTTCCTGCCGGAGCTGCTGTTTTTTGATTGGTGAATCTTTTAAATTTAACCGCGCGTCGCTCGTGTTGGTGTTTGAACTGATACGCTCATCGTTTATTTTGACTCTGTAACGTTATGAAAATTAGAGTAGCGAAGTTAAAAGTTTTTCATTAAAAATGAACTCAAGTAAGAGTAAAAGTACTATGATTTAATTCTACTCAAAAAAAGTCCCGTTACAGGGAAAACTGTACTCAATTACAGTAACGACAGTAAATGTAATTCGTTAGTTACACCTCTGGAAATGTGTCAGTAAACTGAGGTAAATCTGCAATATGTGAGTGAAATATGTCAGTAAACAGAAGTAAATCTGCAATATGTGAGTGAAATATGTCAGTAAACTGAGGTAAATCTGCAATATGTGAGTGAAATATGTCAGTAAACTGAAGTAAATCTGCAATGTGAGTGAAATATGTCAGTAAACCGAAGTAAATCTGCAATATGTGAGTGAAATATGTCAGTAAACTGAGGTAAATCTGCAATATGTGAGTGAAAAATGTCAGTAAACTGAGGTAAATCTGCGATATCTGAGTGAAAAATGTCAGTAAACTGAGGTAAATCTGCGATATCTGAGTGAAATATGTCAGTAAGTGAGTTAAATCCACAGTGTCAGTGAAATGTAACTTAGGTCAGTTAACTGAGAAAACTTTTCATCGGTTGTCTAAATCAATAAAATTGTGATGTGGGATCCTAATATATAAATAATATGACTAATGTAATAATAAAGATATTACACTTTGTACGATTTGAACAACAGTATGGCGGCGTTTCGGTGTTTCCATGGTGACCAGCCACTCTCCGCGCTGTGACTACAGTGCCCATAATGCTCAGCGCGGAGTCTCGCGGGCTTCCTGTTGTTATGGCGGTTTGTTTGGAGAGTCGATGTGGAGCTGAAGAGGAGAAAACTTTAAATGTCCAAATCACAGCCCGACTTTAAATACACAAGTCAGAAAACAAGCTCAGGTAGGAGGATGAACACATCACTGTCGGTGTACAGCCATTACACGGTGGCAGTAACTGAAAAACTCGTTTTCTCTCGGTTCTTTCAGGGGGTGGAAACTTGTTGCTCTGCCTCTCGGTGGCGACCTTCTGTTTAGCTTTGACTCTTCAGCCACACAGCGTTGATGTTTTAGTGACTTTCTTCACCTAAAGTACACAATATTCGCGTTATATGAATGTTTTATGAGCGGTTTAATGTGATATAACTGTAAACGTGGCGTTTTTTCAAGACTTAACTATGTTAACAGTGTTAAAGGGGAATTCCACCAATTTTTCCAAAATTCTCGCTACGTGATTAAACGGTTGAGACGTAAACAGAGTCATTCAGAGTGGTTTGGTGTGAAATGCTCTGTTCTAGAGGAACTGACAGAGTCAGAATTGATCACAGTGGTGGTGATAGGAACCAGACATCCACGTCTAAAAGCTCCCTTACAGAAAGTTTTTGCATGAAATGGTTAGATATATGGTGCCACATTGTTAATGATAGATTTCTGATAAAGTTTTGACTTTAAATGTAATTAAATCATTTTATAGCAGAGGGGTTCATGCAGGGCCTTTTTTCAGATTTAAAACTATTTTACCCTAATCAGTATAACATTGATTTTAGAAGAGACGCGTAGGTTCACTGGTTGCTTTGCATAGTAAATATAATGGTTATATTTTGTGTTGTAGACATTGTGACCCCTGGTTCCTATCACCACCACTGTGAAGAAATCTGAGCGTTTAGGTTTCTCAACAATGAACCATTTCACACCAAACCGCTCTGAATGGCTCTGCTTACTTCTCAGGGACTTAATTAAGTGAATTAATTAAATTTTGATTCTTAAATCAAATTCTCCTTTTTTCTCCATAAATTAAATTCTCCTTTAACAATGTTAAGTCAGGTTATCTAACCTATCTCAGCTGTCTTGATATTAATCAGTTGTATATTAATAACTTTTCGCTTTGCAACATTAATTAGGGGGCCATTTCTGAATATTTTGGGGATTGACATCCCACTCACCCCAATATTTTGTGTGTTATTTTTGTATAACACAATAAAACAATAATTTACTATATACAGTGGACAGCAAAGCCATAAACAGTATAAATAAGTTACAGTTCCTGATTAAGTGTCATGTTTCTGCTTTCTTCATTGTTTTGGGAGCAGAGTCATCAGTGATATCTTCATGAGATGTTGGCTGCTTTCAGTACTCACAGCAAGAAATGTTGATAGAATGTGATGTGATGTTGTGATGATCGTCACTCTAATGTCAGATATTGCTGTAACCTTTCATTCTGCAGTGTACCGCAGTCATGTCATCTCCAACTGGACCGCAGCCGTCCCAGTCTCGCTTCCTGTCCCGCTGGATCCCGAGCAGCTCCCGGGCTGGCGTCTTCCTCAGCGGCTCTCCTGGAGAGGTCAGCTCACTCCAGAGCAGCTGCAGTTCTGTGGCTCAGGAGGTCTCGCTGGATGATTCGTTCTGCTCCCAGTTCGCCCCCCTGCCCGTGTCCTGCAGCAGCAGTCTGGACTCAGTCGTCCCCAAAGTGTCTGAAGCAGACCCAGAGGCTGAACCTTCCAGCAGTGAGCTTGATGGTGTCCACAACATTCTGAAAAAGGCACAAGGGCTTCCACTGATTGAGAAGCTGGAGCAGGTAAATACAGGAACACTTCCGTTCAAAAGTTTGGAATCACTTGTCATGTTAGTATTTTAACACTGAAGTTTCGAATCTCAGGTTTCACTCGTGACTAGATGTCATGCTTGGCTGAAAGCGCA